TGTAGAATCGATAAATAATAGCATTTTCACTTGGCTTGGCATTCTATATTATACTTTTCACAGTTTAACAGACCCCCTTAACTCCACATTATTAATCAGGTTTTTTTTCAGAATCATTAGCCTTCATCCTCTTATAGAGCTTGATTTTTCCTAAAGTATTCAAGTTTATATCGTTTTCTGTTTCTGATATATAATTTTTTTAATATTTCAACCCCTCTTAACCCCGATTTTTATTCATCCTCAGCCTCATCCCCTTATAGATAGGGTTGCCACATTTCCGAAAGTAAAAAGCGTGACAACCGTGATGATAGAGCATTTTTATATAATCACGTCCATTTTTTGTGAAAAAAAAGTCCTCAGCTTATTTTTTGTAAAAACGAGGGTCTTTTACCCGGACATTTGTCTATTTTTGTATACATTCGGTTCCTCTGCGGCTTTTAAAAAGCGTGGCATTTGCATAAAAAGCGTACAATCAAAAAGCGTGGCAAATTCGCCAAAAGCGTGACATCTGGCAACCGTACTTAGAGAGCATGATTTTTAAAAATGTCATTATGATATCGCTTTTCGTTTATAATTTAGGATTTTATTTTTAAATTTCTACCTCCTTTAATTCCTATTTTTATTCATAATATGCTTCGTCCCCTTATAGAGCTTGATTTTTGCAAAAAAATTCAATATCTAACGAACGCTCTTATGCTATCGGCTAACATAATGATCCCGATTGATATAAAAGTTATGTTCTATTGTTTTCATCATTAAAAAAGTGGTTTTAGTAATGTCAAAATTTAGTTTTTTGTATGTATCTTACAAGTTAATAAAAAACTTACTGCGAATATCCCTATATGACATGTTTATCACAATATTTCTAAACTGATGCGTTACTTTCGTGTCACTTTTTAGATAACTACAATACAAACAAATATTGCCAAGCAACAACAGATGTACGTGTATAAAATGCAGAGGTGGTTTTAGGGAGTTCGTTGTGCTTGCTTTTTCCAAAAGTACATTCTATGATAAAAAAAGATATTTTTGTAGGTATGTGGAGAAGAGAATTTAATAAAATATTTTTAGTTTTTTCATCAAATTTACGTATTTTGTGGGAATATAGAAAGCTGATAAAAATAGTTTTATTTTTAATTGAAAAATACACTAAGAAACAATACATGTATGTATTCATGACTGTAGGTAGGTATATTGGTAGTGTTAATTCTGGTTACGGGACCAAGATCAATTTATTTCGAAAACGGAACTAAAAAATATAATAGAAATAGATTCAGAAATTAAAATATATAATTCGCAATTATCAAAGACTAAAAAGTTATAAAAGACTACGACTAGTTTAAGAAATTAAATTATTTACTGATTTTCCTCACCTTTGTGTGGCAAGTTGGCATGTACTGTAAAGGAATACTTAGGAAAACAGTAAATCATTAAGATTAAGAAAGGATGGAGATTTTTAATTTTGACTTTTAAAAAACCTAATAAGTCTGCAAGCACCCAATCTGTAAGCCGCTGGATAAGACAAGTGTTAAAGAACAACGGAATGAACACAAATATAGATATTCAATATTCATAGTGCTAGACACGCAACTTCCTTAGCGGTTTATAGAAGGGGGCTCAATATGGAACAAATAAAAAATACAATAAGGTGGACTTCAAAGTTGTCAAAAATTTTATAATAGACCACTGGAAAAATAAAAATGTTTTATTTTTAGTTTAATGTTATACTTAAATTTATAAAAGATAAGATTTGTTTCTATTTTTTCTTTTGATTGCTTAAAAGCATTTAAGAAGCCAGTTATTGTTTAAAACGTGTGTTATCTATATTGTTTGTATTTTGTAGGTAATAATATTACATTTCCTCGTAGAATTTATATAAATTGAAACTTATTTTTTTTTTTTTTTAATAATGCTTTTGTGTGCAATATCTATTTGGGCAAGTATACGAATTTAAATTAGAAGAACAAACAATCCAGCTAGCACAGATACGTGATTTTCACGTGAAATATACGTCACATTTTACGTCGAAATCACTAAATTTATGACGAGCTGGTGACGTAATTATGACGGTAATATGTCACAGATCAAAGACGTCATACAGGGACGTGATAAATACGTCACCAGATAACGTGTTTAGACGTCAAAAGAAAGACCATAATACTTATTTAAAAATGTTGAATTTATAAAGAAAATGTTTATAAAAATGTTTTATAAAAACATGTTTCATAAAAAAATGTTTCATATAAAAATGGTGTGTAAAAAAAGATAGGTATTGCATTCTTGTTGATGCATAAAATTTCTGAATTGAAAAAAGTATACTAACCTGAACTATTACTAACTAAACATTACTTCTTAGAATATGTACTTAGAAATAATAAATTAAAAAAGATTATATAGCAGTGTCCAGATAAAAAAACAAGTATTTTAACTTTCTTATAAAAACAGTTCTACGCCAATGGAAGAAAAGGAGTTTGGAGTATGAAATTTAGATTGCGCAACTCATTTACTTTAAAAAGGGTACTCTTGATAAGACTCGATTACTCTCATGGTTTTCGCTAAATTTCTTTTTTAATAATTTAGAGTGTATAGGTTTCACAAAAATATTTATTTACAACATAATCAAAATAGAGATTTTACAAAAATTGTTCAAAATGTTCACCATTTACACGCATACAAAGATTTATACGTCGAAGAAAATTAAAATGTATCCTTTCCATAACTTCTTCATCACCTCTAAGATTGTTTATTGCATCTTGAATACGTTGCCAGAGTTGTTCCTCATTTTCTACAGGTTCCCTGTAAACTGTGGATTTCAGATGTCCCCGTAAAAAGTAACCCATCGGTGTTACGTCTGGGGAACGTGGGGGTCAGTTTACAGGTGCGTCATTACCTCTGCCTATCCATTTGTGTGGATATTGTTCATTCAAGTGGTTTCTAACGTTTAAAGAAAAATGTGGTGGAGCTCCATCTTGCATAAACCACATATCTCTCCGAAGTTGGAGAGGTAAATCTTCTAACAATTCTGGAAACGTATTTTGTAGAAAATCCAAATAATTTTCTCCAGTTAATCTTCGTGGAAGTATGACAGGACCAACAATGAAATTACCAATTATTCCAGCCCACACATTAATTTTGAATTCGTGCTGAAAATAGTTTACCTTTATTGCATGCGGATTTTCAACGGCATAAACATGTTCATTATGGGTATTAGTTATACCTCTTCTTGTAAAACCCGCTTCATCGGTAAAGAGAACCTTCTTGACAAAGTTTGGATCTCTTTCTCTTTGCATATTAACAAATCGACAAAAACCCAAACGAATTTGAGGATCATGGACTAATCATTCTTGTACTGGCTTCTTATGGTATGGATATAGCAATTGTTCTCTAAGCACTTTATGAACGACATCTTTACTTACTCCTAGTTCCCTTCCAATTCGTCTGGTGCTTAATTCTGGATCTTCTTCAACACGTTCTAAAATGTCTTCTTCAACTTCAGGAATCCTTACAAAACATTCTCTTCCATTATCAACAGTGTTGGGAGCAAAAGAACCGGTCTCCCGAAGACGTCTCTCAACAGAAGCAAAAGTTGGGTGGCTAGGTACACGACGATTTGGAAACCTTTCAGAGTACACCCTGACACTCTCTCGGGCATTTCCTTCACAAAATCCTAATGTCAGTAATATATCGGTATATTCTGCATTGGTATTGTTTATATTGTGTATATTGGTTTTGACAAAGTTTGTATTTTAATAATTATTGTTTATGTTCTAAAATTACTAAAATGCAAATTTCGTCAAAACCATGAGAGTAATCGAGTCTTATCAAGAGTACCTTTTTTAAAGTAAATGAGTTGCGCAATCTAAATTTCATACTCAAATTCCTTTTCTTCCATTGGCGTAGAATTTTTAAAGGTGCAATTATTTAAAAAATCAAGTTCTACGCCTATGTATTATTATCGGACAACATTTTAATACCATTTTTTTTGCCACACAAAACTCTACCAATATACTAAATTTCAGATAAATGGCATATGCTGTTTTAAATTTATATGGGAAAAACGATTTAAAAATTGTAACTTCAAGGCCCTCTGGAGCCCAAACGAAGCAACTTTGTACTAAGGTAATTTTACTTAAATCGACTTATTTTGGTCTAAGGAATATGTGGTATGTTTTTGTAAAGACCTTTTACATGTATATTGATAGCAAATGAATACGGTATGCGTTTGAACGGGACTCAAGTGAGATCTCAGTAAATAGTAACAATTGTAATATACTTTGCTAATTATTGCATCACATTTGAAGTATGAAAAATAAAAAGAATTTAAATATGAATTTGTATGTTTTATTTATCAATTTGCACCAAACTTTGCATCGAATCCTGGTTTACCTTAATTAACATTATTACAACGTGGGTACATAAAATATCAATTAATTAACTAGACGATCACTTCTACTACTAGTGGAAAAAGGACAAAAAATACAGTAAGTAAAGAATTTAAAATGAAGAAAAACTTGTGAGGTAAATAATAACATTTCAAAGAGTAAAATAACGAATAAAAGCAAATAAAGGGGTGGGGCGGGGGGTGGGCCGTCACAATATTTATAATATTTTGTCACATTCTGACATTGAAAATGCCGCCCCTAAGATTTGCCGCTCCGGACAAATGTCCAGGTTATCCGGCCTTGAAGCGGGCCCTGCAAATCGTTTCCACACTTCCACAGAATACTAGTGGTTATTCTGTGACACTTCTTTGTTGTTTCTGATTACATAATAAAGCAAAATAAACATCAATTATTTGTACACATAATAAGTAGGTATATTAACACAATTTTTCCAACGATATGGTATAGGGTTTATAATAATATGGAACCTTTCCAGCAAGCTATCTAAAATGACTCAACTCAACATTTATATTTAGTGCACATTTTGTAATCAAAAATAAACAATTTATTTGTGATTTTTCTCTATTTATCTTAAAGCAGTTATTTCTTAATAACGATAAGAATGTTTCGTCAAATTTAATATAATAATAGAACGAAATCAAAAATATTGTTTAGTAGTTTTTAATTATTCGTAATATTGAACATGGCTGATCTCAAAGTAAGTAACATTTTTATAATTTATCCACAGATAAATTTATTTGACATATTTTTTTTGCATAAAAAATAGTATTATTAGAATTCAATTATCGGTTTTATATAAATACTTCTTTATTTTGTCAAATTTTTCTGTTGTGGTAATAGGTATGTAACCCTGTTTAATAAATATTTTTCCAAACAATTAAGTTCCTTATTTTAAGGAGGCGTCCATTAATTACGTAAGGTTATCAAGGGGGGGGGGGAGGAAATCAAGCTAAATCTTTCCAAATCTCACTTGGGGGAGAGGGGGTCTTAGTAAAAAACGGTGTAAAATTGCGTGAAAGTAAAGTTAAATTAAAGTAAAGAATGTTTCTAGAAATTTTATATTAAGGCAATATTCTCAAATACTAGTCTTTGCTAGTCTTAAATAAAAGTAATTGAACATATGATTTTTGTTTTTTTAATAATCCAACGCATTTACACCCAAAACACAAATTTAGAGGTAGTTGAAGAAAATCTTACGAAATCTCACCAGGGGGGAGAAGGGGTCAAAAAATCCTCAAAAATACCTCACATAATTAATGGACGCCCCCAAAAAAACCAGAAATATATTCATCCACATTTTTCTTGTGAGACTATCGGTATATTTAACATATAACCAAGCTATATGCCCTTTTCTCTAAAATACTTAATTATTCAATCATGTAGGTTGTGCTCGATAGTATCAGCTTCTTGCATACACTCCCTAATACATAGGGCAAAACTGACCATAAGGTTGAGGTGCTACCATATTACTTGACAATGACCAGACATAGTTTTTATTAAAGGTTCGATCTTTAAATTAAGTACAACTTTATATTTCTAGTTTTGTAGATTAACAGCATTAGTCTTCTTAGGTAATTTCCAAATAATATTTCATTATCTACGCACCCAATTTCTTATCAAATAGTCAAAAATAATTCTTTATTTAAGTATTTAAGCGGATTTGGCTCAGAGTTCTCCTCAGAGGATCCCCGTTGTCCAGAATCTCTACCAAAAGACCAAAATAGTCCTCAACAATGCCCGTACGGATTGTATGCAGAACAGTTATCAGGTAGTGCTTTTACGGCACCTAGATCAGAAAATAAAAGAACTTGGTTGTACAGAATTCGACCATCAGTAGTTCACAAACCGTTTACTGCTTTAAAAAATGACACCGTGACTCATAATTGGGACGAAGAAGAACCTAATCCAAACCAGGTATGTACAGTTGTTTTGCATGACTACATTTTTATAAAATAGGTCATGTTATACGTCATTTGAAAGAGTTTAAAAATAGCATAGCTTTGAAAGGAAATTCGAAGATACCGCAATGAGTGGAAAAAGTATTATTTGGTCGAGTCCTGGATAAATCAAGGGTACCTACACAGTTACAAAAGTTTTGTAAGAAATTAAAAATCAGAGAGATAGTTTATTTTTATAATCATTTAAAAACAGGGTGGTCTGTGGTTATTGTTTTTTTGGTTTAATTTTAAGGGACTATTCGTTTCTCTGAACTGTTGGTATTTATTTAAACAATTTTACATAATGACGTTCCAACAAAAAATTATGATCACATTTATTGTTTATGTGACATCCTCTACAATAAAATTTAAAATAATAAATAAAATAATATTCCTTGTCAAAAATAATAAATCCTTGGCCAATTTTGGCAACATATGTTATGAACAGATTGTGAAATTATTACCGAAAAAGCGCAATAATGATTTGAAATTTGTACTTTTCAATTTTCAGTATTTTATTAAAGAAAGTTGTATCAGCAGTGGCGATTTGCCCGTAAGGGCACTTGGGGCACGTGTTCTAGTATAATAAACAAAAAAAAAATAACTTACATATTTTATATTTTCCTCAATGCCTATTAATATTTTATCTAATATTTAGCGCAAACCGCGCTGGCAAGACACTGGATGACCGGGCGTTGAGCGACGTTCCGAGAATTCCGAAATTAAATGGAAGATGAGCACAGGGCACAGTAAATGTGTGCCTCTGTTTTTCTCTCATTATGGTACGAAAAACAAGGACAACGACAATATCGCTTAGCAAGAGATGAACACATGCGATGAATTATACGTCACAAGCAGGGTGATGTCCTCATCGTAACGTGCTGTACCCATGGCACAGATTACCTAGACCAGATACGAATGTACGCAGCGGCATCTTTACCGGCTCACTCACAAAGGCGATGCCGGTTTCGGCTTAAGGTGCGCGTTTCTTGGACAATGATAATAATTTATTTATTTTGATTATGAAAAAACTTTAGTTGGACCATTGGAATAGTTAAGAAATAAAACTACAAAGAAAAATAACTTTTTTTTTATAAAGCAGTCAAAAATATGATGAAAAAAATCAATAATATTTATAAATGGGACAAAATTTTAATTTTTCTTTTGGTTTTATCTGACTTTTTCGAGGATTTCAAATCTCTGTTTGCATATTTAAGAGTATAAAATTTTTTTATAAATAATTTAATGGCGTACATTTTCGCAAATTGTTGGCAAGGATGACCAAATTCTATTTTGCTCATCTCAAAAAGGTATGCGTTGGAAATTCCAGGCTTAGTTGACAAACTATCAAATAGAGATATAAATATTTTTTCTAATTTGAAAATATAAAAGAGAAATTATTCGTTGGGAGATTTTAAATTGCCAAACACCTTTTCTTCAGAGTCGTATGCTTTAAAATGCTCCTACACGATGGAATTTTACATCAAAGTGTGTCAATACTATTTATGTTTGTAAAGAGGATTTGATTAAATGTCTCGAAGAAATTATGAAAACAGAATTCGATAAAAAAAACTATTAATCAGACTAAAAGGTTGATAAATTTTGAAAGACATATTTTAGTGTCTGCTTATTTTTCTTCAGTAAAATAATGCCAAATTGCGATATACTTTTTGATCAACTGCAGAGTAGACAGCTCGATGCTCTCAAGGTTAAGATAAACATATCAAATTTTGCAGCAGCTATTCAAAATATAAGAAATAATATAGACACGCTAATTCATGAAGAATGGCAATCACAACAAGACCCACAAGAACTAAACTTAAATGACAACACCGTCAACACCCAATCAGGTCCAAGTATAAGCAAGAAGAGACGGTTTGTTGAAAAGGAGGACCCCATTCCTAATTTAAGGATATGTAAGGAAATTTGTGATACAATAGTAGTGCAGGTAAATGAACGTTTTAGTGTTACTACCCACCTAACAATTGCAAGTTTATTTGATAGTGAAAAATTTAAAGACTACCGAGGTTGTTTTCCAAATGAGGACGTTAAAACTGTGTGTAGTTTATTTCCAAACGTAAACAGCTTAAAATTCAAAAACGCACTGTCCATACTTTACACCCGATATGACTTTGTGCAACACAATGGGGCCGTACCGTTATTACAAATGTTTTTTGTGAACAATTTGACAATTACATTTTCGGAATCTGTGGAGCTGCTAACTATCCTGTGTACAATTCCCATGACTATAGTGGAGAGTGAAAGATGTTTTTCGACACTAAAACGTATTAAAACATTTTTAAGGAACACTATGTGCCAAGATAGATTGTGCGCGTTAGCCATGTTATCCATCGAAAACAAACTTATTCGGTCAATTCCAAATTTAAATAATCTGGTCATCGATCACTTCGCTAGCCAAAAATCCAGAAGAATGGACTTCAACTATAAGAAATAGTATACAACTGCAGCGGTACCTAGCAGTTAGTCTTCAATTTTGTAATATTTAATTTGTTTTGAAATATATTTAATTTTCATTAAGCGGAGAACTTGTTTTCCTAAGGGAAAAACGAATCCCGGGATTCCTTTCCAGTGTGTGCCCCACTTCCGCTAGTGCCCACGAGCCGCCACTGTGTATCAGGTTTTAATATTTTGAAACCAACACTATTTTTTACGCTATGGACCATTATTTATAGATCAGGGTTACTGTTAAAACCAACCCTTAAAAAAATGGTAACGCGCCACAGTAATACCTTAGAGGTGGTGTGGAAATGTACTATTAATTAATGATCTCATTTTAATTAAAAAATTTGAAAATAATTTTTGTATTAAATTAAAATGCATATTTGTCGCATACACCTGTAAAACATTAAAATTGCCCGCCACTGGAAACATTTCCTCCTGCCCCTATAGCCTGCCCCTAAACTCCAAAAATCTCAGCAAAGTTTGGAGCGATGACAGATGTCAGCATTTGATTACACATTCCTAAAAATTTTCCACTGTTATTTTGAAATCGTAGCATACCTACATAATTGATTATAAAAATATGATTTTATTTTAAATTGAGCTTATTAATAATGTTCAAAAATCAAAGAATACATTTATTTTCTTTAGGAAGGTAGTAGCATTGTTTAAAGAGTAGGTAGTAGGTATACCTACCATAACAAAACAAACAAAGCTCCAAATCGTAATGGGCCTAGGGTTGCCACCTTTTTGAAAAGTAAAAAAAGGACTACGATGCTGACAGGGGCTCTGGTATACAAAAGTTCACATCCTTCTAGTGAACTTCTAAAAAAAAAGTCGTCGAGCTGAAATGAAATACCTACTCCTTGTCTTACCAAAATGCTTCTAAAAAAAGCTTGTATATTTTTGTACAAACCATGTCCCTTCCAAAAATATGTGCTGTCAGTCAAACATTTGTCGTAGAAAAAGACATTTGTCTTTGTTGTAAAAAAGGACATTTTTCGTAAAAAGGACATTTTAAGCTTTAAAAAGTCACAAAGGACTGTCCTTTTCAAAAAAGGACAGGTGGCAACCCTAAATGGGCCTGGTGCGCAATTTAACTTTAATCCGCCTCTGAAAATAAAAGTGATTGACAGATTTTATTTACATTTTATTTTATGATTGTTTTTTATTACCTTGTAGTTTGAATAGTTATTTATCTTGTTATAAAAATTGATGGTTCTAAAAATAGAAATAACGCGCAGTTCTCTTATAATAGAATATAGAACTATTAATAAATATGGCTCGTTAGCTCAGTTGGTTAGAGCACCACACTGATTATTTCGACGTGGAGGTCGTGGGTTCAAATCCCACATGAGCCCTAGAATTTTTTTTGTTTTCATTATCATTACTTCTTAGCTATAGTTCCACCCTAGTACCATTTAAAAGTTTAATTTTTATGCAATTGTTAGTTTTTTAATTATTTTTACAAAAATCACATCTTACCTTTATCACACTTTTTGACAATTTTAAAAATATTTGAACGTATTTTTGTTGACGTAAAAATAACGAAGATAGAATTGTTGCAATTATATACCTACATATAAATATACAGTGTTTAAAGTTAAAGAAAAGTTTTTTGGAAACATGAAACCATCATTAGTTTTTTAAATGACACCAGTATAGTACCACCATGGTACCATTTAAAAGTCTAATATATTTTTATGGTTTTTTATTCTTTTATGTAAATATTGTTTTGTTTAACCATATAATTATCGTAATAAATAATGAAAATTCCACTGCCTTAACTAAACATGCGTTAGATTTTCGATTTTGAATATGTAAGAATTGTCGAAAATGAACGAAAGTTCAACAAAAGAATAATCCTTAAGATGATACATATTAAATAGTATATTACGTGACAAGAGTTGTAAGTAACCCATTACGCACGAAGTGAAACAGTAAATTTCACGAGTGCGTAATGGGCTTACAACTCGTGTAACGTACTATACTTTTTCTACGCCCACTTATGTTCATCTATTAAATAAAGGACATATGCTTGTGTCGCCAGTACATAAGTTTTCGATAGGTAATTTGGTACCTTTCTTTGGATTTTAGCAGTAACAAATTATGTGTGGCATCTTGAGCTTTTTCTAAAATCTCCGGTGGAGTGCTCATAATTTCATCACTTTCACTACTAACAGACATATTCGTACGTAAAGTTGAGAAAATATTCGAATACAATAATATTTTGTTACAAAAATTGACAATATAAACAAAACGACGTTTATTTCCATAGCATGCTAAGAAAACGCGACTTAGTTTTTTAAAATTGTATAATGTGTTGCCGACATTTAGGAGCATCACTTTTTTAATCCAAAATGTATCTCGCTAATGCTAAAAGTTTTGTATGTTTTTAAATTGACTAAATTTATGTAAATAAATCAAATAAAGTCTTACGTAGATAAAAATTTGATTGCAATTTGATTAAACTAAGAAATTTAAATGTCATTTACAAGGAATGTTAATAGTGCGATTTTTAACGTTTACTGACATGGGCGTAGAAAAAAACTCTGTTTCTATTCTTTTAAAAAACTTTAAACTGTTTGTATTCGTTCCTCAAATTTTTATAAATATTGACTGCACCAGAAGATGGAAGATGCTTAAATTATAAAAAATAAAAACTAAAGAAACTTTTTATTTATATAATACTATACATATTACATAGTTTTTTTTTTTAGTTACATTGGCATCCGTTTGATCTACCCCTCGGCAACAAAAAAGTGGATTTTATAGACGGAATCCATACTATTTGCGGAGCTGGTGATCCCAAATTTAAAACTGGCATAGCAGTTCATGTATTTTTATGTAATTCTTCAATGGACAATAGAGCGTTTTATAATAGCGATGGAGATTTTCTTATAGGTAACTATTCCCAACATTCATAGGCACATCAGTTTTATGTGTTGTGCAGCTGTCATCTAAATGGACTAGATTTAATATATCAATACGGCGTTTTTAATAGCCTTTACATTTCAGGTACCATTTTTGAACGCGACACCGAAACAGGCAACAAGCGACCGCCCATACAGCACAAACATCTTTTAGAAATATTTAAAAAATATTACATTGAAACATTTGTAATGTTATATAAGTATTACGAAACACATTTCTGAAATGTGCCTGAAACGTAAACATGTCCTGTAAATATAATATTTCACAGTAATATTTCTAAAATAAAAATTTGAAACCTTTTAGAAATATTAAATGGTAATATTTCAGAAATGTATTCTAGCTTTTTTTTCTAAAATATTATTAGACTAAAAAAAGACATTTATAAATATACATTTTTATTTAAAATACACAAAACTCAGACATTGATTCCTAAACAAACAAACAATCAAATAAATAATTTTTAACTATTATTTCATAAAATATAAAGGCGAATCGCTTCATTTCCACAAATTCCTTTAAATGCACTAATCTGAAAAAAATGTCCCCAGTAAAGGAACATTTACGATTATTATAATCTGATCATTAAGATCAATTAGCAGTTTTATTCTTATCTAACTTCATAAACTAATATTCTACTCACTATTATACCTTAGAGTCTAATTATTTAGTTACACTACCGTTAACGTATAACACTTAACTGCACTATACTCAGCTTTAACATTACTGAACTAACTAAAAAGGCTTGGTTCTCTTGATTCTTCTTATTAGATTGGCTTCATTGAGGAGCTGGATAATCTCAAGGTTTTCATGTTGGAGTAGTCGTTGTTGGTGACTACTGGCAAATTTTTGTATTGTATTTTCAACAGTCTCCACTTTAAGATCCCTATGAAGATCAGTATTGTGGCAGTACCGGGGTGCATCGACGATGTTTCTTAATACTTTAGTCTGGATGTTACTTTTACTGGTACAGCTCCAAAGCTGGCGAATCGCTTCATTTTCACCAATTCCTTTAAAAGCACTAATCTGAAACAAATTATAGGTAATTAAAAAGGTCTATTAATATTGTTTTAAATTAACTATAATAAAACAAACAATACTCATGTCTACACAAAACATGAAGCTCCACTTCTCAATCAGCTGTAGAACTAATAAATAAAACTGGTGGAGGGACAGCAAATGTAGGTTATATTTAAATAGAAATAAGAATATAAATTACCTATAAATTTGATAAACGAAATGGTGTCACTCGTCTCTAAGAAGAGATAAAGTTAATAAAGCTGACCTAAACTAGCATTGTAATACTCACCTCAATTTCTAAAGACATTTTCTGTCTATTCTGCATCCCATATAACAGCACAATATAGGGTTGGTTGTTTCTCGCTGGACATAGAATGAAATAAAATAACTACATATACCATCTTGATCTTACAAATCAGAAATTCTTCATTAAGTGTTGGCCTTTTACAACATAACCCGTTTAGTAACCTTCTGTGTAACATGTATACCATGTTTCAGAAACATTTTCAGTGACTACAATACTAAAATATTTCAGAAATATTTCAGTAACTTGTACTTGAAATGTTATATGTTTGAAACGTTTCAAATATTTCTGAAACACTTCTGAAATAATGTGTGCTGTATGGGCGCGTAAAGGGACTGAAATTTATCTCTTACGTCTGAATTACATGTAATTAGATGAAGCACATTTGGGACAGTGCGATCGATGCAAGAGAGGTGACAGCACTTTTAACACAGCGCAGAGCCTTGATGTCTGTCGTCTGTCTCGGTCTCGTGTTGTTAAATGGTACCTTTATGTTTAGACATCTTTATAAAAAGGTGGGGTTGAGAAAGATCAGATTATATAAACTTATTAAAATGAATATGTATAAAATATTTCAAGTTTTAGACACCAAAAACTCTTAAATGCACACTTGTACATTGACTGTCGCATTTCTGAGTACGTATAGGTTATGTGTCCTATCGCAATTCTTCTTCTTTTAAACGATTTTATCGATTATTTCCCAACGAAAGGCCAACTTGTTAGCTAATGATGGTCCGACAGCAATAACAGTTAAAAGGCTTTTGACTTTTATCCAATATAGTTTCTTAGCAATGTAAAGCTGAGCCTCTATCGAAAGGCCAAAAATATGCTTTTATCTTTTAATCATAATATAGATTATGTGTCAAGCAAGATAAAAAAGTATCAACAATTTATAAACATTATTAAACATGAATAAACCAATTCCAAATAAACACCTCTGTGCTTTTTATTAAAATAAAATATGTTTTGCCAAGTGTTTCTATTTATTAAATACATAAACAGGTTTATCAGCACACAACCGTACAAATTAGGTAATACATAATTATCCTATAAAAGTGACTAGCTACTATTCAGGCCCTTCAAGCTGATTATTTAAGAAAATCAACAACTAAAAAAATATCCTGTTAAATTTATTTCACTTTACTTTTATGATCCTGTCTCTGTTGACATTTTACAAAATTTTATTTATGTAATGGACATTTATTCAGTTCTTTCGGTAATTGAATCACATGTCATTATCACATGTCATTATCACATGTCATTATCAAATGTACTTATTTGTACCTATAGGCCTTCTATCTATTCCAATTTTTATCGGTAATAAGACATTAAAACTTTTTAATGGTGATGTCCATGAAAGATTAGGTTCTAGACGTTTTGGCTATCATCTTGATCTCAATCTATCAGATAGTGATGTTAAGTATGAAGAATTAAATCCTAGAATGAAGAATTCAGTGTCAGATGAACACATATCTTGTTAATCCTCAAGAAAAATGCGTATCAACTGATTAAGCTAAAATAGCACAAAATATTTTTTATTTTGAATTTCTTTGCACAAGGGTCCAATATCTGCATATAGTGAATTTTCTTGGCATTTCCTTGTATTATTGAGCATAACTTGATGTGATTTATAGTTGTTATTTTCATTTAAATATATATTTTCAGTTCTACAATGATTATAGAACTAGAAAATAAAAGAGTAACATCTTGACAATCATTACAAAATGTAAACAAAGCCGTGGCAGTTTGTAGGCGGCGGGCGGCCGTGACAATACCGATGTTGACGTCATAAAACCTGCGCACCGCTTCATGATATGGCAAAATTATGGCAACCCTGTAGGCCTGGTGATTTGACAGGGACAATGATATAACTAGTTATATAGATTGATCATCCATGTTTTTCAAAATAAACATAAGCCTACACCTTGAAGTAAAAATGTAAGTATTTATTTTTTCTACACCCACATGGATATTAGCTTGTCTACGCACAGATTACAAAACGAAAAACAATGCTATTGCCTTTAACTGAACGAATATATTTCATATCCATTCTAGGTAGTCAGAATACTGCAAAAAAAATTAAATACACCAATCACCGTTCATATTTTGATTAACCAAAGGCTATTATTTTTAAAATTTTATATAAGTGACGATTCTGTCAGACTAATAATTGTCAGTAAATTTTTTAGTTATTGAAATTAAATATACATTAAAATAGGTTATTCTTGTGTAGAATCGATAAACAATAGCATTTCTGTTTTTATTTCGACTATAATTATAAATAATTTGTTAATTTAAATAAAACTATTTGAAGTCAATTTAATTACGAGTATTAAAGCAACAAAATTAAAAGACTAGGTGGTCGTGTGATAACGTTCTTGCCTTCGACTCTGAAGACTGGAATTCGATTCTCGGATGGGGAAAAACTTTTTCTTTTTTTTTTTCGTTTATTTTATTTTAAAAATTATAAAGTCAAATTATTTTAAAATTAGTTATTTTGTCTTAATAACCTAAAATATTTTTTTCATTTGTAAATTTTCGTTAGTGGGTCGTAGAAAAAATATACTGTACAACTCGAGTGGATTGTCCACATCGCACTCAGACGATTGAGCACTCCGCCTACGGTGTCGTGCTCAAATTTCATCTTCGTGCGCTATGGCCATCAATCCACTCTTGTTGCACAAACTATTATTTTTTTACTATATTCAATTGCCGAAAATTGGTTTGTAAACAGATTATGGCCACCCGCTTTGAGCAATCTATATAACTATATATGTATCATTGACAACAAGCCCACAGGGTTGCCGTATCTAAACATTCTAAACTGTCAGTTCCCACTTGTCAGCATTTTGACAGGACGTTGAAATGCTTAATTACGGCAAAAGATCAGTTAAATATGTTACTCTTGTCAATTTTACCTTATATCAGGTCTGCTTTTTCTATTTTTAGTTCCCCAAACTGGACAATTATTAATAAAAACAGAATTCGGAAAAATCGAAGTAAAACTGAACGAAATAGCAGTGATTCAGCAAGGCATGCGTTTCCAGGTCAAAGTCACATCGCCATCTCGTGGATACATTCTGGAAGTATTTGGTCGTCATTTCGAATTACCCGATTTAGGTCCTATTGGTGCTAACGGTCTAGCCAATCCTAGAGATTTTCTGACGCCCGTTGCATATTACGATGATGTAGATGAGGTTTTTCAGATTGTATCAAAGTACCAAGGGAAATTATTTACTTGTGAACAGGATCATAGTCCTTTTGATGTTGTAGCTTGGCATGGAAACTATGTACCATATAAGTATGACCTAAGCAAGTTTATGGTCATCAATTCTGTTTCTTTTGATCACTGTGTAAGTACCCGACAGTATATTTTTAATAAGATAATAATTATTGTAGATTTGATAACAACAGTTACAAATTCTTTTAACTAATAGAATTTAATAGTAAATGTAATATTTCTCTTTTCTATCACGCTATCTATTTTATCCTGTAACTCTGAAAATATTTGCTAAATAATATATACCTTTTTATAAGAGAAGTAGGTGTAGAATTACTCAATAAATTGGCACCCTGTATATTGAAATTATGTAACAATCTTAACAAATATGTAAATGTTATAATTACGTATGCATATATCTTTAAATTAATGTTAATGTCATTCTGTTAAGAAGAAATCAAGAAAAATATTAAAATTAATATTCCTAGCAACCGAACAAATTAATGGCAATTTACAGAAATATTTTAGAAAGTAAACTAAATTAAAATTTTGAGGTACAAAACTTGCATCACATGAAAGTTCGTTTTAAAAACAAAAAAAAATGTTTATTCTTACAACATCAATAGCTTTCATTGTTTAATCTAAAGATTTCTATATTGAATGAATTATAAAAAGGTTAATACATAGAAACTAGAAGTGAAAACTTATTATGTTTACCAACATGTACTGAGTGTTCCAACAACGCAGTCACCTATATTTTTGACTTTTTAAGAAGTAATTAGGTATTAAAAATTCAAATACAGGGTGTCCCATTAGTGCGTAATTGTTTACTATTTCAATTTGTGTTATAAACACGTAAATAAGTTTCAAATAAAAGTGATATGGAATTTACTTTCCACCCGTATGCGAATATGCTACTTTCCGCATCAGCTGTCACAAAATGTCAATCGCATCATTTCTATTTTGATCTATGTAATGTCCATATTAATACTAAAATCGATATTATTGTTAAATTATAGAAATTGTTGTAAATTAGATCCTAGATATTTATCTTTAACAATTATTATTAAAATAATTTTAAAATAACTAAGTTATGTTTGCTTTTTATTCTGGTTAAACACATAACCGATTAGATCATTCTATTGACGCAAGGCCTATTTACTCAGGTGTTAGAGTATCAAACTTTATCAACTTTGCCATTTGAGACCTGGCGAGCGACCGCGTTCAAATCTCTGTGGGGGCAGAATTTTTTTATTTTTTTTGTTTTTTTTTTTTGTTTAGAAAATATGAAAATTGAATAAATACGATTATTATTGATTGTTTTTTTAAATTCATTTTATTTATTATAATATAAACCTCGTTTTACATTTCCGCATCAGCTGTCACATAATGTCGAAGGCATTATTTCTATTTTGATTTATGTAATGTCCATATTAATAGTAAAATCGATATAAGATGAATAAATTATTAAAATTGATGTTCAAACTTAGATCCATGATATTTATTTTTAACACTTATTAATATAATTTTAAAATAACATTTTCTTGCTTTTTATTCTGGTTAAATTGAATAAATACAATTATTGTTGATTATTTTTTTAAATACATTTAAATTATTATAATAATAACCTGGTTTTACATTTTTTGATGAAATTATTTTGTGGTCGTAGGAAAAATATTGTACATCACTTGTGTGAAAAGTGATTTTCCACACTCGTGTGATAGTCGCACTCGGCTTGTGCATCGTGCGACAATATTTCCCACTCGTATGAAAAATGTCACTTTCCACACTCGTAATGTTATACTATTTCAGCTGTCTCTGTGATTTTGATTACTGAGAAAAGTTTCGTCTTTATTGGGACTCATTAGCAAGAAATAGACATTCTCGATTTCATACTTTAATGGAAGCTGAACCTTGATGTTGCTTGAGAAAGTAGTGACACAAACATTTAATAATTAAAATCAAAATTCGTTTGCAGTGTCCGATTACAATTAGAAGAACACTGCTACGTCATCATTTGGAAAAGTAATTAATTGCTTATCGCCGTCTACTGGGATTTAGTGGAATATTAATGTTATAGGAATATAGGAAATACTGTTTATACCTAACAAATTACTTATTTTTTAGTTATTGATAGTTATAGATAATATGTATTCGAAATTCAAAGTAATGGTTACCTATGATGTAGCTGTGTTTTTTAATTGTAATCAGACCCTAGTACCTACTTAGTCGAAAAATGAATTAATAATTTATAAAAATATTATTTATTTTTATTCTTCTTCAAAAGAATTTGAAATCAGACTGTACCTGCCTTGATAGAGCCTTTAATAAACCTAAACATAAAAAAACGGGTTCGGATTTATATTAAAAACCGTATCAAAATTGTTTTTCTATAATACCGCTATAACGGAATGTCAAGGTCTTCTTAGAAACTATACAAATAAATGAATAATCATCCTCTGTATTATTTATTACCTATTACATATTATAATATAATTAATTTTATTTGTATCTAGAACTCCTAGCAATACCACATTGATATTCAAAATATTGTGGATTCATTATTTGAAATGGATTTCCGATAATTTTTCAAACTTACGCGTAGATCCAAGTAAACAAGCATCAGTCTTCGACATTTTAACGTCAAACACTTGAAAAAAAATACATATGAATAATAAATAGATTTGAATTTCAAGGGAGGCTTTTTTTGATTTTTAATTTATGAATGTAGTTTCATCCGAGAATACCGATCAAGGAGAAGCGACAGTAGCTGTCGGTGCCTTTGATATCGGATGGACCTTTTTCAAAGCATGACTTTGATTAATACACAATTTAATACGTTGAGAAAACATGCTTATTTTCTACACTGAGCGAAATAGTTTGGAAAATTATCTGAAATCATTGTTATAGTCCATGCGCAAATGTTGTAATGTGATTTAATTAATAATCATAATATTTACTGTTCGTAGTCCTTTGGAAAAGTAAATAAACTTAATCCTTGGCCGGTTTTGGACAAACAAGAACGGTATGCACAAAAATATCCAGATCCAGACATTATGTTACAACTTAACAGCTCACAGACTAAACACAACTTGGACTGACTTTGACAGATAACATGATTTTGAGTGATACACAACTTATTTTCGCACATGCGCGTATCAAAACGGTACACCGAAAACACCAAGCTGTCGCTCCTCCTTGATCGGTATTCTCGGGTTTCATCCCCTGAACGGCAACCCCACCAAGAATACTAAAATGGCACGAGGGGTCAATTGACACATCATTTTAAAGGTATTTTAATTCTCTTTTCAAACATGCTGATATTTTTTTTGTTCTGTGTTAAAATTAATGGAAAACAGCTGGTGAGAGAGTCGGTGAAATAAATCGAAGAACACGTTTCCAAACAAGTTTTTATTAATCAAATGTTCAAAAATTTCGATCCATTTACTTCCATGCAGTAATAAAGTCTTTGTTTAACATGTTCCGGAACATTTCGGAACATTTCAGGGGTTATTTCTCCACATACTTACATGCTTGCACTATTCGGTGGTGAAGATCTTCTAAAGGTGTGGGTTTCGTCTTTTTAAATAACCCCACAAGATCTTGCGATCTTGGGGACTATTCAATAAAACCCCTTCCACCAATAAAGTATTAGGGAAAACTTACGTAGACAATTGGTAATATATGAAAAACTTTTTTATTATTAATATTAGGAAAAAGTTATTCTTCCTAAAAAATCGAGCATGGTCTAAAATTTAAAATACAACCATCGGATATCAAATTTTATCAATCGTATACGAGGTTTGTCAAAAATAAAGGTACTTTACTCTTCAGCAAAAATCATATTTTTTGACAAACCTCGTATACGGATAAAAAAATTGATATATAATGGTTGGATTTTAAGTTTTGGACCATGTAGAACTTTTTATCAGGAATAAATTTTCTCACAAAACCAATAATAAAAAAGTTTTTCATATGGTTCCAATTTAGTGAGACATATTGTATAAAAAAATAATTGTCTCTTTTATAGATGATGTAGATAATGGCCCAATAAGTCGAAAGCGTTAATATTATTTTAATAAAACAACATAATTATTATAATCCTAGACTACACAATTTAAATACTACCATCAGTTACATTTCTTAAATATATCTTAGGCTTTTAAAGTTTCATTGGCAGTAGTATGATATTTTGTCTCTTCTTTTTCCATACTTTTTTGCAGCCACCAACCAATTTCGCTATCTAAAGCAACAAATAAATATGAATATTACTATTTTTATTATTTTTATATAAATTTTGCCACAAAATATCTAAAATTATAATAATTTTAAAGTCTTATTCATGTAATGTTACAATCTGAATAGCTTTTCGATATTTTTCATCCATTATTAAGGATTACACTTTATTCTACGAAGACCAGTGTAGCACAAAAATACCTTTAATACTCTTTAGAACATAAGTTCATAAAGTTCTCAAAACAGTCACTTCCATGAAAATAATTTGACAGGTAAAAAATTATTCTGATAAATTTTTTGGTTTACTCGGTTCCGAAAATTTGTTTATGATCTTTATGATCTTTGCAAGTACGCAAATTAACCCGTTTTATGTAATTAAAAAATAAGAAACTTAACAAGATAGATAATTTCATAAATTTTTTGGGTGGCCCGTTTTCTCTGACGCGCAGTGTATAACTTTGGAAAAAAATTAAAACCACAGAACTATGTAAAAATATCTATTGACTATTTTGTCTCTCGTACATAGGATCACATTCTTTCTATACAATTAAAAATGCACTGTTCATATGTATCTGGCATAGAGATAAAAATAAAATTCAGTTATTTTCATTTAAATTTGGCCACAAACTATCTAAAATTATAATACTTTTATTGTCACATTGATTTAAAAAATACTCAGTTATTTAGAGGTACATTGAGTACATGAGTACTTATATATATTTAAAAATTTTAAATTCAAATTATAAACATGACAAAAAAATCAATCTTCTTCTGCTTTTACTACTCGTGGTCTCTGCTTCCTTTTGCTACCTTTCGTAGCTCTAGGTCGGGGCGTTGGGGGAATATTTATTGCTTATTTTTTCTCTCGTGCTTAGGATCACATTCTCTACATACAATTAAAAATGCACTTTTCATGTGTATAGATATAGAGATAAAAAAAATAAAATTTAGTTATGTTTATACAAATTTGACTACAAACTATCTAAAATTATAACAAGATTTTGTCTTATTTATTAAAAAAAAATACTCAGTTATTTAGAGACACATTGATACCTACATGAGTATATATATTTAAAAAATTTAAATTCAAATTAGATAAATATCAAAAAATCAATCTTCCTCTGCTTCTACTACTCGTGGCCTGTTCTTCCTTTTGCCTTTCGTAGCTTTAGGTCGGGGCGTTGGGGGACTCTCCAAGTCTTTCAATTGTTGCTCAGTCAGACGTCCCTTGTACCAATCGGCGCATTCGGGTACCTTTTTCGCCCAATCGCAGCGTTTGGTGAGATCATCAAACACCTGACCAAGTATACATCCGTTTCTTCTAGGCGCGTTGCCGTTAACGCAAACGTAGAAAAATTGACAGTCTTCAGGGTCCGCGTAACTCGGATGTGTAAGTCCTACGCTTTCAGATACTTTAGGGCAATCGAATGCGAACACTTCGGAGGAGGTACAGCCTTCACGTTTCACTTCATCGGGCCAAGAACATATGCCCACCTTGTCGTTGTACACTAGACCATTTGGACACGTTATCTGATTGAATTTGCCGTCGACGCAAAAGTAGAATTTGTCGCAAATGTTTTTTTCTTCGTGCACGAAATACCCTAGAAAAAAATTAGCTTATTATTTATTAACAGTTTGAGAATGTCGAAAAAAAGGTAAAAAGGAAACTAAAACATATAAGAAAAGAATAAGGAGAAAATAATGAGACAATTGCGACACATGATAGAATTGGAAAAGAAGGGCTAAGCATAGGCGAAGTTAGGGAAAATGAAAAAATAAAAAGAATCGTGCCATTTAATTAATTTTGTAATTCTACATTTAATAATTTGCGATTCAGACTTGAAATTTTACAAAATTGACGTTCACTGAAAGAACCGAACCCGCATACACAAGTCAGTTTGCAGTCTGCAAATTGGCTTCAGAGAGGACTGGAAGGAAAGGTTTGTTTGTTTCTCAACACTTTGATCACGTCTTGTAATTTTTTCACTTGTTCTATTTCAATTAAATTAATTTGAAGACAATTAGTAGTGATATTCGTTATTTTTTTCAAAAGTTAAACATAAAATTATAAATTATATAATATATGATAATTTTTAAATTGAACGAATGCATTTTTTTCAGTTAATATTATAAATAGGTAATTGATTTTACACTAAAAATTTGCCGCATACACACATATACTAAAAAATCTAATGTGTCCAACACATGACTTTCCTGTCTAGATATTACAGTTTTTTTTTTCGGTTATTTTATAACCTATTGTAAATGTTTAGAGGATTAACTAAATACACGCATTTTCTACATACATCTTACTAGGACAAATTGTTTATATACATATATTTATTGCCAACGTAAATAATAAAAAATTAAAATTTTACACTTTTCCTCAAATTTTTGCAATCATGTATAAAACAAAAAATATAGAGAATGATATCGCAAACAACTTTTATTTGAGCATAAATAACAGATGTCGAAAATATATAATTTACGTGCGCCTATGTATTATTTTTATTTTTATGTAGTCCCAGACAACACACCAAATCCCAGAGATATCCACAGAATATCGTTTGTGGATATCCAGTACATCCACAGGATATCAGAATTATCCCGTGGATCTAATATGGATATCCAAATGTCCGTCTATATCCAGAATATAGAAGAAATCCTATGGATATATCCAGCAAAATATCTAATGGGTATCTCCAGACAATACAAGAAATCCCAGAGATATCTAATATATCCAGTGGATCTAATATGGATATCCAAATGTCCGTCTATATCCCAGGATATAGAAGATATTCGGATATTCAGCAAAATATTTTATGGGTATCTTTAGTAGAGGTTCATAAGTAACCGCAATGATTATTGAATAACGTCGAAAGAAAATAGCAGAGATAAAAAAATATTTTCAACACTCTGCCTTTGATTTTGCCCACTAAGGAGAAAGTCATCCTTATTAGGACTCTTCACTCTTCAGCAATAAATGGAAATTCTCGACTCCAGTCTCTAATGGAGTCTGATTGGGAAAACAATTTCGATTGAACTCAATTACGGCGGGTTGAGCATGAGCACGAGCGAAAGTGGTATATCGCCATCGCTATAGGTACTTAGTAAGCAAAATCAAAAATTACATCTAGTGGACATTATGCACCATGGTTTGCGTTCGCGCCTAGGCTTTGATATATTTAGTGGATGTCCATGGGATATTAAATACACCTTAAAAAAAATTAATTTTAAATATCTGAACGGTTCTATTAGCCACAATGGCGTAATTTTTTAAAAAATTGCTATATAATTACTATTATTTATGGACATTTGCATGTCTATAAATTACATCTCATGGATATAAAATAGATATCCATCATGGACTGGACATTCAGTGGATATTTGGATATTCAGTAGATATCCAAAGGATTTGGTGTGCTGTCTGGGGTAGTTTATGAATGTTACTTGAAGAATAATTTCAATGTTTATGTCAATTACAAATTCGTAATATATTCAAAGTTTAATCGTAGTTAAACTTAGTATTTCCCTTGAATTTATTATTTTACAAGATATATTCGATAAAGCAGAAAAACGACCCTCCATAAAGTACACCTCCAGATGTTCCGAATCTAATCAACGTACCCCAGGATGGATCTAAGCTTAACTTTAAAATTTGGTGTTTTTGTGTATATCCGTTCATGACTTATCGAATATACAAACACACACAGACAGGCATATAGACACATACAGCGATCATCGCAAAAATAGTCAAAATGGATTCAGGGGGTGCCAAAACGTGACAATCCGTCGAAAAAATTCTTGGTTCATATACTTACCTGCTGTATACACACATGAAAGTAATAATTTAAAAATTAAGGATTTTTATATTAGGTGACTAGGGCTAGGGCTTTAGCCCCCCCCCCCCCCCCCAGATATGATGGTATAACTTCGCTCATTCGGCTGAGGCTCCACTACTCCACATTCCACTTGTCTTTAAAATAATGAAAAAGGAATAGCTTTATAATTTTTACTTATTCTATCTTTTAAAAACACCAACAAATTAATCCGAAAATTTTAAAAAAGATGATAAGTGTTGTTCAAATTACAAAGAAATACAAAACCCACAAAATTAATATCATAAATAACGAGTGAGTCAAAAAAATGTTTTAAGGAAGAATTAGAAGCACGCGGCAAAAGAGATGGCAGACTACAGCTGCACTTGTAGCGACTGCAGGCGGCAATCCGGCAATTTATTTTTAATCAGAGTTCTCCCACCCCAAAATAACTGGTCTGTCGCTCAAAGGCACGACTATTACCGAGTGTACTTTTAGCCATACAACGATAAATCTGGCAACGAGGCAATTAAGTCAATTTTCTCTACATTGTACTGACGTCAGCGTTGCCAGTGCTAGTAAATTCGTACTAAATTTATTTCCCTTTCAAAGTGTCTAGTACGTTGGCATAAATGTTGATCAACATCGAAACACTTTTAACGCCAAAATTGTTTTTCAATTTTTTTTTACAGTTACACAGGTCAATTAAATCAAAACGATTTTCTTATGAAACTGATTATAGCTTGTAAAATACACTGTTTAATTCCATACTATTGGTATTGTTATAATGGAAAAAGCGAGAGCAATTCAAATATAAAATAAAATACAGGTAGTCTCATTAAAAAATGCATAACTTGGATATGTATCTCTTTCCTAGAGAAGATCCCTGTATTATTGAAATTGTTTTTAAATTGTCTTTTCTGATATACATCTCGCTGTAAAAACAGATTTAAAAAAATCAAATAGTTTTGACTATAGTTACAGACCGAAGCGTTACCGATGATCCACCCTGTATATTTTAAAAGTTGCTTTGTTAAACCAATAACGGCCATGGCTATTTAGATTTTGAAAAAATAGTTAAACCAAATATATTCTTTTGAGACAATAGCATTCAATTAATGATGGATTAAAAATAAAAGTGTTTTATATCAAATATAATCCAAAATATAACTTTGGAAAAAATGAAAACCACAGAACTATGTAAAAATATTTATTGCCTATTTTTTCTCTCGTGCTTAGGATCACATTCTCTACATACAATTAAAAATGCACTTTTCATGTGTATAGATATAGAGATAAAAAAAAATAAAATTTAGTTATGTTTATACAAATTTGACCACAAACTATCTAAAATTATAACAAGTTTTTGTCTTATTTATTTAAAAAAATACTCAGTTATTTAGAGACACATTGATACCTACATGAGTATATATATTTAAAAAATTTAAATTCAAATTAGATAAATATCAAAAAAATCAATCTTCCTCTGCTTCTACTACTCGTGGCCTGTTCTTCCTTTTGCCTTTCGTAGCTTTAGGTCGGGGCGTTGGGGGACTCTCCAAGTCTTTCAATTGTTGCTCAGTCAGACGTCCCTTGTACCAATCGGCGCATTCGGGTACGTTTTTCGCCCAATCGCAGCGTTTGGTGACATCATCAAACACCTGGCCAAGTTTACATCCGTTTCTTCTAGGTGCGTTGCCGTTGATGCAGACGTAGAAAAATTGACAGTCTTCAGGGTCTGCGTATCTCGGATGTGTAAGTCCTACGCTTTCAGGCACTTTGGGGCAGTCGAATGCGAACACATCTTCGGAGGTACATCCTTTACGTTTGGCTTCGTCGGGCCAAGAGCATATGCCAGCGTTTTCATTGTACACTAGACCATTTGGACAGATTATCTGATTGAATTTACCGTCAACGCAAAAGTAGAATTTGTCGCAAATGTTTTTTTCTTCGTGTGCGAAATACCCTAGAAAAAAAATAACATTATTATTTTTTTAACAGTCTCAGAATGCCGAATGAAAGGTAAACAGAATTCGAAAACAAATAATAAAAGAATTAGGAGAAAATAATGAAAGATTTGCGACAAATAATAGAAATGGAAAAGAAGGGCTGAGCCCCCCCCCCCACTAGTCTTAAGTCAAAAGTAATAAAATAATGAAAAAGAAATAGCTTTCTATTTTTTTCTTTTTCTATCTTTTAAAAACATCAACGAATTAATCAGAAATTCTTAAAAAAGATGAAAAGTATTGTTCAAATTACAAAAAAAAAAATACAAAATACAAAAAATTAATACGAGGGTATATAAAATATAGACAGGTATGTTTAGATTAAAAATTCCTGAGCGGTTATTTATCTGAAAAGAATTGATGGGCAGTTAGCCTTTACCTCTGGGGAGAGGAGAAAATCGATCAGAATTCTTTAACGTCTCTTTAGTATGCAAAGAAACCATGAGCAAGAAAGAAGTGCTTGTCTCCGTGGAGCAACGGATTAAAATAAAGTTTTTGGCAAAGGAGGGAGTAAAACCAACCAAAATTTTGCGTCGATTGCAGGCACAGTTCGGGGATAACACTTTGTCAAGAACCCGTGTGTTTTCATGGCACCAAGAATTTTTTGGAGGACGTGAAAAGGTGCATCCGTGAAAGCAAAGACGCGATTGTCAGCCGGAAAGGTGATGGCAATAGTATTTTTTGATCGGTTAGGTGTTTTTCACGTTGACTTTCTACACGATCAACGCATGATTAATGCACAATATTATTCTGAGTTATAAGAAAAATTGTCGTTTCGAAGAAAAAGGAAGAAGCAATCGATCAGAAATGTGATTTTTTGCATGACAACGCCAGATCTCATGTGGCTAATGTCACAAGAGAAAAATTGGAAACATTTGGATGGGAAATACTGGAACATCCTTCCTATACCCCAGACCTTTCCCTTTGCGACTTTCATCTTTTTGGACCCCTCAAAGAAGCGTTTGGGGGTCAACGTTTCGACAATAATGAAGCGGTGAAAGCATTTATGCTCCAATGGCTACAGGAACGTCCGAAGAGTTTCTACGATGCTGGAATAAAAAAGCTACTAATCCGATCGGAAAAATGTATTTTTAGGGGGGAATGTATGTAGAAAAATAATGTATGTTTTAAAACATTTAAATAAAGCTAAAACTTTTTACAAAAGAAATTCCGTTTATATTTGATACACCTTCGTAACATAATAACGAGTGAGCTAAACAAATGTTTTGAGGTAAAATTACGAGGCATGCCGCGGTAAAAGCGACGGCAGACGATAACTGCACTTGTCGCGACTGCAGACGGCATTTTATTTTTAATCAGAGTTGTTCCACCTCAAGATAACCAACCGGTATGTCGCTCAAAAGCACAATCATTACCGACTGGTAATTCTAGCCGTGCAACGATAAATATGGCAACGCAGCGATTAAGTCCTTTTGCTGTAAATTATACTGACGTCAGCGTTGCCAGTGCTAGTAAGTTCTTACTAAATCTACTGCCTTTTCAAAGTTTCTAGTACGTTGGCATAAATATTGTTGATTAACTTCGAAAAACTTTTACCGCAAAAGTTGTTTTTCAATTGTTTCTTTTGCAGTTATACAGATTATTAAAAGCAATATGATTTACTTATAAAACTGGTTATAGCTTGTAAAATACCCTATGTAATTCCATACTATTTGGTATTGTTATAATGCAAAAAGAGAGGACAATTCAAATATAAAATAAAATACAGGAAGTTTCATTAAAAAAAGCATAACTTTGATATGTATCTTTTCCTGGAGAAGATCCCTGTTTTATTGAAATTGTTTTTAAATTGTTGCCTTTTCTGATTACATCTCGCTGTGAAAACAGATTTTAAAAAAATCATACAGTTTCGATTGTACAACCACAGACCGTAGCGTTACCGGTTGTCCATCCTGTATATTTTAAAAGTCGCTTTGTTAAATTTATAGGCCCTTAGATTTAGAAAAAATAGCTAAACCAAATATATTGTTTTGGAATATTAGTATTCAATTAATGTTGGATTAAAAATAAAAGTGTATGATGTTAAAAATAAATAATCAATAATACACTGCACGTCAGATAAAACGGGCCACCTAAAAAATTTAAGTAATAATTCACCTTTTTAAAAATATCTTATTTTTATAACAATAAATCTATTGTGTATTAAGTCAGTAATTGTTTTACCATGCTATCCGATGTTACCATAAGTCACAAACGAAAAGAAAGCAAAAAATTTAAGAAATAAATTTATTGAAAAATTACAGTTACAGTTTACTTTGCAATAATAAAATTAAAGAGGCAAGCAATGGTGAGGATCACTTTTCAATACGATTGCCACCCCGATTCTGGATGACATTCCTCATTCGATTTGGCATAGAAATTAGAAATGTCTGAATGTTTGCTTGAGGAATAGTGGTCCATTCCTTAATAAGGGCCAACCGAAGCTCTTCGCGTTTTGTTGGAACATGTATGCGACGTCTTACACGCCTTTTAAGCTGGTCCCAAACACGCTCAATAGGATCAGGATTCGGGCCTAGAGGAGGCCAATCGATTTTAGGAATACCAACCTCTTCAAGGTACTGTGTTACCATCCTTGCCGTGTGTGGGCGCACGTTATCCTGCATTAGCAGAAAACCATTGCCAACAAACCCAGCATATATGGTATTACATGGTCTTCTAGGACAGGGTTACCAGGTTTTTGAAAGAGATGACGGAGAGACAGGGAATTTTAGAGGAAATAGGTGGAAGTAAAAACCACTCTGTCTACTTTCATTTTTTTAATCAAAATTACTTATTTTGTAAAAAATCCGTACCTTATTTTTGGTAAAGATATACTGAGGTGTTTTTACAAATAATAAGGTGAAAATGTTTCTGACTTTGGATTTCGTTTTGCGATTTCTGGATTTTCTAACTTTACATTTTCACTTTATCATTTGTAAAAACACCTCATTGTATCTTTACCTAGGTTAGGATTTCTTGCAAAATAAGTAATTTTGATTAAAAGAGTAAAAATAGAGTTGTTTTTACTTCCCCCTATTTCCCCTAAAATCCCCTGTCTGTCCGTCATCTCTTTCAAAAACCTGGTAACCCTGTTCTAGAACCTCTGTTATGTATCGTCGTGATGTTAATGCGCCTCTACCAATATTAACGAGACCCATGTGTGCCTCAAAATAAATTCCTGTCCAAAACATTACTGAGCCACCCCCAAAACCAACTCGAGGTGACCGAGTACAGGCAGCATAACGTTCCCTAGTTCTTCTGTAAATCTTATTTCGGCCATAATTCCATATCTGCACATTCTACACTCATCTGTGAACAGTACATTTTTCCAACGTCCACTGTCTAATTCATATGTTCGCGAGCAAAAGCAAGTCCGCGTCTTTTGTGTGCAACAGTAAGCAAGGGTACTGTAGCTGGACTGCAAGCTATCAAAACACTTTCTCTTAACCTTCGTCGAATAGTAGAAGTTCTGACTGCCGTTCCATGAGCTTGCTGAAGACTGCTTTGGAGCATTCCAGCGGTTTGGGTTCAATCTCGTAAAGCAGCAATGGTGAGAAAGCGATCCTCCCTGGCTGATGCTTTTTTTTAGCACCCGTACTGGATCGCCGATGATAAGAGCCGGTCGCAAGAAACCGTTGGTGTGTTTACCAGTAATGTTACAATTAGGGTTGCCAACCGTCCTGCATTTCGATGGACGTCCACCATTTGGGGTGTATTGTTTAGTGTCCTGCGGCAACCTATTGCAGAACGCTTATTGTACTTAGTTTTAGTGTTCCAAATAATATCTCCAATTTCTTATATTTTATAGTCACATTGGCAAATTAATAGTAGCTGCAAAAAGTGAAAAAATACGATTCTAAACGCAGTGACACCGTTAAGTAGCTATAACTTTTTATATTCTTTTTAGGTATGTTTTTTTTTTTAAATAAGATGTTTTATCATTAGTTTCCATTTACCCAAAAAATCCTTGTTATTTATCACTTTTTGTAGAATGGTTTATTTAAGTTTGTTGTTTTTATGCAATAATAAAAATGTCCAGAATTTATACCGTATGTCCTGAATTTTTATTACCCTCATCCAGAAAAATTAAAAAACAAAGTTGGCAACTCTAGTTACAATCTGAATAGCTGTTCCATATTTTTCGTCCAATAATAAGGATTACACATTACCCTACGAATATCAGTGTAGTACAAAAATACCTTCAATACTCTTTAGAACACAATACAAGTTCATAAAGTTCTCAAAACAGTCACTTTCATGAAACTTAATTGACAGGTAAAAAATTATTCTAATAATTTTTTTGATTTACTCGGTTCCGAAAATTTGTTTATGATCTTTACAGGGTCGGCATGACTTTGCAAGTTCGCAAACTAACCCGTTTTATGTGATTAAAAAATAAGTAACTTAACAAGATAGATAATTTCATAAATTTTTTGGGTGGCCCGTTTTCTCTGACGCGCAGTGTATAACTTTGGAAAAAAAAATAAAACCACAGAACTATGTAAACATATTTATTGACTTTTTTCTCTCGTACATAGAATCACATTCTTTCTATACAATTAAAAATGCACTTTGCATATGTATCTGGCATAGAGATAAAAATAAAATTCAGTTATTTTCATTTAAATTTGACCATAAACTATCTAAAATTACAATAATTTTATTGTCTTATTGATTTAAAAAATACTCAGTTATTTAGAGGTACATTGAGTATATACATTTAAAAAATTTAAATTCAAATTAGAAAAATGTCAAAAAAATCAATCCTCTGTTGCTTCTACTACTCGTGGCCTCTTCCTTTTGCCTTTCGTAGCTTTAGGTCGGGGCGTTGGGGGATTCTCCAAGTCTTTCAATTGTTGCTCAGTCAGACGTCCCTTGTACCAATCGGCGCATTCGGGTACGTTTTTCGCCCAATCGCAGTGTTTGTTGACATCATCAAACACCTGACCAAGTTTACATCCGTTTCTCCTAGGCACGTTGCCGTTAATGCAAACGTAGAAAAATTGACAGTCTTCAGGGTCTGGGTATCTCGGATGTGTAAGTCCTACGCTTTCAGGTACTTTAGGGCAGTCGAATGCGAACACTTCGGAGGAGGTACAACCTTCACGTTTCACTTCATCGGGCCAAGAACATATGCCCACCTTTTCGTTGTACACTAGGCCATTTGGACATGTTATCTGATTGAATTTCCCGTCGACGCAGTAGTAGAATTTGTCGCAAACGTTTTTTTCTTCGTGTGCGAAATATCCTAGAAAAAAAATTTACATTATTATTTTATTAACAGTATCAGAATGCTGAAAGACTTCGAAAACAAATAATACGAGAGACTAAATAGAAAATAATGAAATGATTGCGACAAATGCTAGAAATGGAAAAGAGGAGGTTGAGGCTTCCATGCCCCACTTGTTTTGAGTCAAAATTAATAAATTAATGAAAAATTTGATGTGTCCCACACACGACATTCCTGTATAGATATTACAGGCTTTTTCCAGTTGTTCAACCTACTGTATCACCCCTGTAAATGTTTTTCACATACACATACATTTTACTCGAATTTTTTCCCAACGAAAATACTGAAAAATTAAAATTTTACACTTTTCCTCATATTTTTCCATTACAACCCATAAACAACTTTTATATAAACAATTTTCTTAAAAATTCGAATTTTACCATTATTGTCAGAAATCTGGAATACGGAACATTTTAGGAAAATTATGTATAGGACAAGAAATATATTATAAGCAACTTTTAATTGAAGAATTGTTTCTTTAAGCATAAATAACAGATATAATCTATAAAGTAGAAACACGATCCCTTATAAAGTACCCCCCAAATGTTCCAACTATGGCCAAAATTTAGTCAGCACATCGCAAGATGGATTAATGCTTAAATTTAATATTTGGAGTTTTTCTCTTAATTCGTTTTTGAGTTTGAAATTTGCATCTTTTTCTTAAATATCTCGAATACGGTTTATTTTAGAGAAATTGTGTATGGGACAAGAGTTATTGAGAATAACATATAAACAACTGGTAATCAAAGAATTTTCTTAAACATTCGAATTTAGCACGTTTTGTCAAATTTCTCGAATACGGATCATTTTAGGAAAATTATGTATAGGAATTATAGAAAATAATATTACAAGCAACTTTTATTTGAAGAATTTTCTTCTTTAAGCGTAAATAACACGTATATTTCATAAAGTAAAAAACGACATTTTATAAAGTACACCCCAGATGTTCCGACTGCCCAAAATCTAATCAGCTCACCGCAGGATAGATTAAAGCTTATGTTTAAACTTTTGTGTTTTTCTCTGTGTCCGTTCATGAGTTATCAAGTATATAGACACACATAGACATCATCGCGAAAAAAGTCAAAATGGATTGAGGAGATCTCAAATGGTAAAAATCCGTCAAAAACTCAATGTCTACAAAAATCATGATTCCTATTTTCTTTATCTTTATACAGACAGGAAAGTAAAAAGAAATAGGTTTTTAATTTCTACTTATTCTAATATAGCTTTTAAAAAAACACCAACAAGTTAATACAAACTAATTCAAAAATAATGATGAAAAGTATTCTTCAAAATACAAAAAATACAAAACAAAAAAATTATTATCAAAATAGTGAGCCAAAAAAATGTTCTAAGGTAGATTTACGAACATGTGACAAAAGACAACTCCACTTGTCGCGACTGGAGACGGTACTTTATTTTCATTCAGAGTTCTTCCACCCCAAAATAACTGGTCTGTCACTCGACTATACTTCTAGCCATGCAACGATACATATGGCAACGTGGCGATTAAGAACCCTATTCAGTAATTTATCGTTTATTTATGGACGACAGTTCAACCAACTTTTATAACGTTAATTTTTGAAACTCTATTTAATAACAAAGTCGTTACGTTGTTTCTATACTCTGTTTTTAAACTAAGAGGAGCGATTTGAATTTAAGTTGGCAATTCTGTAGCCTTCTGATTGGTCAGATTGCAGTCAGTTTCACACATTACTTTTTAGCATGCACATCAGCTAATAATTAGGCATTCTAAACAAATGAATTGCCAGTGGGCAGGTTTGGTAGATCTGACGGTTGCGACATACGATGTATTCTATCTACAATACGTAAAATCATGAATAATGGATTACATTTAAATATTTTATATCGAACACTATAAAAATATTAATTAAAAAAACTGCTTGTACATTTTTTTAAAAACTGGCAGGATTGGCGACTGATATTTCGAATAAAAATAGCGTCCAAGATGTAAGACTATGTCGCTACCCCCCTTAGATATACGAGACCTTCCCACTGGCAGGTATTGTTTGACAGGTCGTTGGAATGCCTAATTGATATTGTTGACAGTTCTGACATTTTATAATTTGATATCTCATCCTTTATTTTTTTTTTACTTTATTTCGTAAATAATAGTTCTTCGGTTAGCAATTGTATTGAAAATCTACAATTATGGATCCTTATACACTGAGTGCTATTAAAGGTAGCAATTCCTGAAAAGCCTTACAAGAAAGAGAAGACACCTTATTATTTTACATGTTGATTCTAAAGGTTTTGTAGAAAATGCATTATTGGTTTTTGAAGGTAAAAAGACGGGAGATTACCATGAAGAGATGAATTCCGAAGTATTTAAAAAAAATAATAATTTTATTACTGATTTTTTAAAACAAAAAATTGATGAATTTCTAACCAAAATGATTAAAATGTAACTAAATATTCAAGCAAATTTTATTTATTAGAATAGAATAAAACCATTTACAAAATTGTTATAACATTTAAAACACCATCTACTACTTTTGGGATAATCTTAATTAAGCACAATGAGTTAATATTACTTTCACCAAAAATATTTTAAAAATACTTAAAATTAATACATAGGTATGTATGAATAGTTCACTTTAAATTAAAAAATATATGTTGACATGTAGTGTTATGAAAATGTTGGTTCCAGTTTTCAAAACAAATTCTGACTCATAGGCCTGTAAACTTTTGAATGCCTTTATTTGCCCTTTAGCTTATTAACCATGGGTTAACACTTAATAAGCCATAATATCCACATTACTCATAGGAGAGATACCAGTTACTGTGTGATCTACTTGTCATCTACTAATTAACTTTTACTTTTTATACCTATAACAAATATATCATTAAAAATGTAAACAGACCAGATTTGTATACTTTATACTAACCTGGCTACATCTGGATATTCTATTAACAATTTTCTTAAATATTTAATATCCATTTTAAAAAGATCATAGTTATTCTCAAAAAGTCGATTTCAAAAGCAAGAAAAAAGTATTTCTGACATCAATCAACAACCATATTGAATTTTATTTGACAGTGACATTTCGTTTTAGACACACATTTCAGATCACAATCATGTGAAATTTACGACCGTTGTCTGGGACCAATAAAAAAATTACTTCTATGACATTTATTCGTTTCTTAACCGCTCATTGGCCGTTCACCGACTAAGGCCGATAAAGATAACTATTTCATAAACTTTGAACACGACTATATTTCGAAACTCGCTCTTAGTAACAAATCTAGTTACTTTTCCCTGTGTAAATGCGTCTTTTCAATTCGCTCCTCCTAGTTTAAAAACAGAGTATAGTTATAAAAAAAATACCAAATCTGAACGATGATTTCTAGTAAGTTGGTATTATAATTTAGTGTTTTGTGATAAAAGAACGTATGTTGATGATTATATTTTTAAGGTTATTAGAGCACCCCTTATAATTTTCTGACAAGAATGTCTCAAAAAGTTGATTTTTTTTTTAAATTAAAATTTTAACAGCTACTTTTTGAAATAACCTTGTGAGTTGAACATTATATTAAGGTGAATACAACACCCCTTATAATTTTCGAGTATTCGCCTGATCGCCTGCGCACATGCTGCCATTATAATACTCGTAGACAATGAGTACCATTCCTTGCTCAATTAACAATACTCTATTTCAACATTTTATTGTAGTCTCTTGCAGAAAAGTCCGTAGTAAATAAATGTTAACGAAATATTCTATAAAAGGTCTCCTATTTATATAAAATGTCGTTATATTAAAAAATCACGTTAATTTTATTTCATAATACAATATTCCATTAAACGCCTTTTAAGTACCTAATTATGATGTTAATAAACTAAGTCCCGTTAACTTTTCTTTAGAAATTGGCATCATTTGCGTAGGTTAAATTACATTTCATACAGTTTTATTAAAATTGATAG